TGTGAGAGAGAAACATTGATCAGTTGCCTCCCACACACATCCTACCGGGGGATCAAACCCACAATCTGCGTATGTGCCCTGACCCAGAATCAAACCTGCCACCTTCTGGTGTATGGGATGATGCTCCAACCAACTGAGGCACACTGGCCAAGGCAAGATATCCCATATTCATGGATCAGAAATCTTAATATGGTTGAGATGGTATTACTCCCCAAACTGATCTACAGATTCAACACAATCCTATCAAGAGCCCAGCTGCCTTTTTGCAGAAATTGACAAGCTGGTCCTAAAATTCCTATAGAAATGCAAGGGACCCAGAATGGTTAAAAAAATCTTGAAAAAGAATAAAGTTGGAGGACTCACACTTCGTGACTCACTTCCCTTGCAGCAGGGGCACTGTTCAGGCCTCGGCTCAGGCCTGTGCTATCTTAACATGGCATTGGGCCACTACCATTGACTGTAGCTCTCATAGGTGCTGTTGACTGAGATCTGCCCCATCCTTTTCCTTTATGACCCCACACCTGTCACCTTAGGAAATAGTTATCAAGTGGTAGAGTGGCTCTTATTACAAAATTTGTCACTGATATTTATTTTTTCAGGCAAAGTACACAGAGAGTTTAGTAAAAGAAAACAGAAAGGGATGATTTATCTAAGTGAGCAAAACACATGCCTGAAGAAGGGGAAAGGCAAAGAGCTGGGGGTAGAGAGGATGCAGAGTTGCCAGGGTTTTTGTTTCAACCATATCAATGGGATAAAATTTATCCACTAGCAGTATTAGCAATAAAAATAGAAGAGGACGCCCAGGCATTGTTTTTTCCTAATAAAAATAATGATGGTTACATTGAGCTAACTTGTAGGTTCTTCCCCTAACCATGTATCTTCATCTGATTTCCTGAAATAATCATATGAAAAAGAAATAATGTGAATGAAATCTGTTCAAATAGGTCAATAATATTAATATAGTTTGCAGTTATTGAGCGCCAATTTGTGCTGCTAGACACAGTCCAAAATGCTTAATACAAATTAATTTCTTTAATCCTCACAAACAACCCCATGAGTTCCAGACACTAGTTTAATCCCCATTTGATAGATGGAGAGACAGTGAAATAATTTGTTCAGGGTCACAGCTGGATTGTCGTAGAGCTTTGAGCACAGGCAGTCTGTTTCCAGAGGCTGGGCTCTTAAGCACAATACATTGAAGGTTATGTGTGGGTATAGGTGAAATTAAATTATATTTTTAGGAGACTGGAAAGCAGCATATGGCTAAAATAACATATCTGAAGCCATAGGCTTAGCCTGGACAAATATACCTACCTTCCTCTTGTCTGCAATTTGCCTGTTTGTGTTTAGCTTGTAAAATTGCATCAGATATGAAGGCCTTTTGTTCCCCTTCCACTGAGATAACTAATATAAGCAGAAGAGCCCAGAGCTCTAAAGAGACAGACCTGTTAGGTGGTTCACAAAAATCAGTGAGCTTGAATGCAGGTGATACAGCACAATGCACCTCTAACTAGGGGAGTAACTCAAAGACAAATCTACTGGGTCCTTCTTATAAGAAGGGAGAGCAGACCGGGGATCGCAAAGTATCTCCCAGTCTATGGTTATTTCTGCTTTTATGAGTCACATCAAAATGGAACTTCCCACATCTTCCAACACAATACGTTATTTTTTTTTTTATAGACTTAGAGAAGTAAGTCCTAGTCAGCTTGGGCTGCTCTAATGAAATACCACAGACGGAGTGACTTAAACAGCAGAAATTTATTTCTCATGGTCCTGGAGGCTGGGAAGTCTGACTTTAGGGCAACAGCACGGTTGGGTTCTGGCGAGATCCCTCTTCTGGGTTGCAGACAGCTGATTTCTTGATGCATTCTCACATCAGAAGGAGAGCAAGTGGGCCCTCTGGCCTCTTCTTATGAGGGCACCAATTCCATTCATGAAGGCTCTGCCTTCATGACCTGATCACTTCCCAAAGGCATCACCTCCAAACACTATCACATTAGGAATTAGATTTCAATGTATGAGTTTGGGGGAGACATAAAGTATTCATGACATAAGTATTCCTTTTGCTGGGTACAGTAGCACCCCAATTTAGCATGGCTTGTGTATGCAGTTTTGAATGTGGAATCGCCAAAACACTAGACTGCTACTTTGTAGTAGAACAAGGGGTTCAGACAGTCTAGTTTTGGGTGGGGATGAACTAATCCACTTCAACAGTTAAGCCCAAACTAAAGAATAAAAGAGGTGACTTTCAGTTAGCAGGACAGTAACATTTCATAATCCAAACCACACTTGGCTCTGTGTGCAAGCAGTCACTGCTGTGTCATCAGAAGGCCGTTTGTCTCTCTGGACTCAGGGTTGATGGGTACACCAGGAAGGGGCTGAGTCCTTTCCCTGCATTCCTGATCATGTCCTGTCCTGGATTAGCCAACTGGCCTCAGAACAGATAAAGATGCTTATGTTATACATTGTTGGTGCATAGCAATTTTTAAAAAATAACTCCAGAAGTCCACTATTGGAATAGACTTGTACTTTCACTCAGCCATCCCTAGACTTCAGTTCTAATTGACTTTAAAATCATTGATTTGTAGTTGTTCGCTGTAGAACTGTCAATACACTGAATGCTGTTGCCCCTGAGGGCAGCATCAGTTGAGTTTTAGATGTTTTTGAAGAGAGCATAGATTAAAGGAGAGAGTCGAATATTTAATTCCTTAGGTAGGACCATTTGAAACTCTGCCAATGTTTCTTTACCTGATAATCTTGAAAGTACCTAACAGAGTTTTTTCATGAACCCTCTTGTAAATAATTTAGTGCCCCTTTTTTAAGCTGACAAGGCTCTGATTGTTATAATGTATTTTTATTAGATACATATTTTTTGCATATTTTCAGAAAAAGTCAACAGAAGCTTTATGATTCCTCCTATCTTATCTATTTTATTTCTAGGAAGAGAGTTTATTAGGACTGACTTTTGAAAAATAATAGCTTTATTGAGATATAATTTACTTACCATGTAATTCATCTAAAGTGTACAATTTAATGGTTCTAATATATTCACTACAATCAACTTTAAAACATTTTCATCACTGAGAGAAAGGGAAAAACACCTGCTAGCCATCACTCACTCCCCATTTCCTCCCACTCCTCCCCTACCTCCAACCCTAGACAACTACTAATCTACTTTCTATCTCAATAAATTTTCCTATTTTCGACATTTCATATAAATGAAATCATACAATATGTGATCCTTTGTGACTGGCTTCTTTCACTTAGCATCATGTCTTCAAGGTTCATCCATGTTGTAGTGTGTGTAATTCATTCCTTTTTGTTGCTGAATAATATTTCATTGTTTGTATAGAACACATTTTGTTTATCAGTTAATGGACATTTGGGTTGTTTCTTCTTTTAGGCTATTATGAATAATGCTGTTATAAACATTGTGCATACTTTTTGCGTGTGAAGGTCTGGCTTTTTGGTGACTTGGCTGGCCTTGAAAATACTGGTGATATCATAGCTAAATAGGAACCCCAATGTCCTCTTGCTCAGCCTCCTTTTTAGGGACATAAAATGTCTGGATTACAGATGAGGCAGCTGAGGCCCAGACAGGGTAGGAAGCTTCCCTGGGGAAAAAAGAGATAGAGTGACGGAGTGGGGCCCCACTCCCAAGTTCAGTGCTTCACCAATTCATGTGGAAACATGAAGGCAGAAGACCTAAAGCCCACAGTGCACGTATTTGTAAAAGTCTTGCAGGCTTTCCTGTTTGCTCTTTCTTCTGTTTGTTATTTCCAGTGGTGTGATCTGGTCTGAAAGCAAAAGAACAAGAACTTCAAAGTGAGAATGTTCTTAGAGCTCTTCTTAGTGATGTCCCTCTAGCCCAAGATCACACTTTCGGTGGCAGAGCAAGGACTGGAACTCCTGTCTCTTCACTTGTCATCCTGACCCTCATTGTGCCCCCTGTGGGCAAGTATTCCTCGTCCAGGAGCTGGGTGAAGGGTGTTGCTGAGTCATTTTGTGTCTCTTCTCTAAAAGAATCCTGTCACAGGGCTGCTGTCCGCCAGTCATGAGCAGAAGGATGCCTGGGTGCGGGATAACATCTACAGCATCCTGGCCGTGTGGGGCCTGGGCATGGCCTACCGCAAGAATGCCGACCGTGACGAAGACAAGGCCAAGGCCTACGAGTTGGAGCAGGTAATGCTGACTGGCAGCCGTGTCTTGGTCACTCAGCACCTTTTCCCTAAACTGGAAAGCCTACAAGGAAGTAGTTTAATGTGTAAAGCAGTTTGGTGCAGACATTGGCTCCATTTCTGCTATAGAATGTTTGGGGGAGGCACTTAAGTGGTCTCAACCTCTTGTTTGTCCTTCCCTTTGAGATTTTTCCTTCCAAAAAATAATCACGCCGAATAGGAAAATAAAGCATTCAAATTTCTAACTAGCTCCATTTCTCTCACACATGTTCTGTCAATTTTATGTATGCTTATATAAGAGGTTATATAAACTTATATGATTGTTTTTTAAAAGTCAGTACGCCAGAACTACACATTCCAAAGAGTATACTCCTTTCAGAGTAGTCGTGTTGAATGCATACTTATCCAGACAGTATTGCCATTGTTTAAAACATGTTTGGAATTTCCCTTAAAAATGCCTTTCTTGTTCGAGCCATTCCAAAGCAGTCTTATTAATTTATAGTCACCCTCTAACTTTGACCCACATTGGTGTTATCCAAGTTTTGTTCCTATGTTACCATATAGCACAATGAAGTCCTTTTATTGTTTTCCAAAATCAGAAACCAAGATACCCACCAAAGGAAAGATTTACCATCATTGAATATGTGAGAAAATTATCTGTCCCTGAGCACAGGAGGTATTTTCAGAATGTTTTGAGTGATAGCATTGAAGTAGGGAGCATTAACACATAAAAGAATAGTTTTCTTGGCATGAGAGCCTTTGGGATTTATCTTTGATTCATACATTCCTCATTGTCCCTTACAGCCAGTGGACCATCAAGTCCAGGGAGAGTTCTTGTGGCCCAACTGGTGCTTGTTTATAGCAACCAAAGTGGGCATGAGTGGCAGGCAGCCTTAACAGCAGTAGGGAGGCTAAGAGAGGAGGCCTGTCTATGGGAGCAAGAGAAGTACAGTTTGGATTTGACTAACATGCTGAGTGTGAGGTGATAAAATCACCTGGTCTTGGAGGTAAGGCAAGAATGGGTAGTTTTTTAAAATGTGTACAGCAAGCACTGAATGTTCTTCCAAGAAGTCGGATGGCTATTAAGTAAACAAATCATTCAGTTAACAGTATTATGATTTGATGTCCATGTCCTCCAAACTTCCCATCCTCCTTTGAGACATGATCAAAGTAAAGCCATGCCTGTCTACATACACACACACACACCCCCCTCTCTACCTCTCCTCGATAAACAATTTCTGATCCAGGTTAGAGGTGACCGGATTTGCTGTTCCATAACTGACAACAGCAAAGTACAAACAGGCCACATTGTTTGATTTGTTGAGTGTGGTTAATAACTGAAGGAGACATCTCCTTTGATTATGGAAAGTAACACGGGATCTTCCAGTGATCCTCAACAGGGATGCTATGGCATTTGGGGCTTAGGGAACATAGTTATTGTGTGAGACTGCCCTTGCTTTGCAGGAAACTTAGGGTCCTTGGTCCTTACTCACTAAATGCCAGTAGCCCCACCTCCATGATGACAAAAATGGCTCTACCCCCACATTTCCAGATGCTCACCCACTCCCAGGGGATGGTAATGTCACCCCCAGTTGGGAACCACTCTGCTTCTTCATAATGGAAAAATAACTTTTGTTTATTTAAGGGGAAGTGAAATTGATAAATGTTTATGCTATACATTGTAGGAAATGTTAATTATTACAATGTTAATTATACCTTATATTTATGAGAGAACATTTTCTTCCTCAAAAGAGTATATGACATAAAGTGAGATTATATTTTAGAATCCTAGGATTTTAGAGGCAGAAGGATCAGAAAGATGATCCTCTCCAGACTTTTATCTGGTGATCGGCTTTTGTGGCCCTTCAGTACGCCCTCCCCTGCAAACCATGTACGTTCTGTAAGACAGGAGATGCTCGTGGCCCTGGGTGGGAGCTTCCTTCAGCCAGGCTACTTTGAACTATCCTATTCTCCAGCCACTTGTGAAGTAGTTTTATAGTGTTGTTAGTAGGACACATTAAGACCAGTCTTCTAATATTCACAATTAAGACCTGAATTGTGAAGGAAATGAGAGGCCACATAATGTATTGACCAAGAGCTCAAACTCTGGAGTCAGATGGCCTGGGCTCTGTCCTTGCTCTAACTGCTGCCAGCTGGGAGACTTTAGCAATGTTACTTCATCTTTCTCAGCCCCTGTTTCTTCATCTATAAAGTGAGGTAATAATAATACTTATAAGGTTGTTGCAAGAATTACAGAGAATCAGGTAAAGTGTTTTGCACAATGCCTGGACATAGTGTCTGATCATTGCTATTTATAATGATAATAAGAATTATAATTATTGATTACAATACATATTATTAAGAAACCTTGGCAGCTATGTGCAATTTTGTAAGAACTTTATTCAATAGTCCAGTAATGGTGACACAAATGGCTATTTTGGCACAAAGCAACATTACTTGGGACAGGCATGGTGGACTTAATTCATCCTTGCATAACAAAAATAAATTACTAAGAATTGTGCCATAGAGCTCCAGGGTACTAGGCTTCTACAATTGCCTTGCTAAAATATCAGTGAGTTGTCACTGGATTTCAGAGCCGGGAGGTGCCATCTGGTCCAACCCCTTTATTATAAGTCACTTTGTCAAGATTTTCTTTCTTTGTGATGCAGTGGAGCGATGGAAATAACTAAACAATGAGAATACTTGTATACGCTGGGGATCTGCCTTTTCAGGGAAGTCTCTGGGCAGTGCTGGCTTACTGGCCATGTGGTGAGGTTTTCATGGAGCAAAAGAAGCTGGCCTTGTTACTGATCCCACTTTATTTCTACAGAACGTGGTGAAACTCATGCGGGGTCTTCTCCAGTGCATGATGAGACAGGTAAGCAGAAAATGACAAATGTGTTTGTAGGTAGGTCATCTGAGTGGGCATTTTGTCATTTTCATGATGACAACTAACATTCTTAAAGCATTTTGAACTTTTCAAGATGGAGAAAAATTGAAAATATTTTACTTTCACCTTTTTTTATCTTTATTATTGAAAGTATTACAGATGTCCCCCTTTCTCCCCCATTGATCCCCTCCACTCAGCATCTGCCCCACCCCCAGGCCTTCTCCACACTATTGTCTGTGTCCATGGGCTATGCATTTATGCATGTAAGTTCTTTGATTAATCTCTCCCCATCTACTACCCCCCCCCACCTTCCCTCTGAAATTTATCAGTCTGTTCCATGCTTCTATATCTCTGAATCTATTTTGTTCATCAGTTTATTTTGTTCATTAGATTCCACATTTGAGTGAGATCATGTGATACTTGTCTTTCTCTGACTGCCTTATTTCACTTAGCATAATAACTCTCCAGTACTTTCAACTTTTAAAGTTATCTTCAATACTTATATTATACTATACAACCACAGACTCAAAGGATGCTGTGTCACAGAATCTCTTTTGAAGAGTTACTTGTGTAAAAGGAGAACATTCTTTAAAAAAAAAAAAAAAAATGAGGAAGAAAACATTTTTAAAAGCTACTCCTAGAAAGTCACATACTATTATTTAGTCCATTGAGTTTATAAAAGGGTTTATTTTGAGTTGAAATGCTTGAATTTCTAAAACTTGACATTACTATTTACTGGTATTTTCAGTGAGGGGTAAATAAAACAACTCATTGAGCACATACTGTATATGGAACTTCATATTAGGATCTGCAACATATGCAAAGATGACTATGATACCATCCCAGCCCTTAATCAACATGTGCCTGCTGGTCTTCAAAGACAGTTACTCTTTTCCTTTTAACATAACAGGCCTTCTTCCTGCCCTCCTCCTCTCCCTCCTTCCCTCTCTCTCTCATTGAGTACCCACCATGTGTTAAGGCTCATGCTGGGGATATGCAGATATAGAAACCCCTTGGCTTGACCACTTGCCGCTGAAGAACTTGTTAAAATCCCACTGGGCTGAGACATTCCTAAAGATGGGCAGGAAGAATCCCACACACAGCCCCTCTTATGTGGTCCTTACTAGTGAAAATTCCCTGTTTTTCATCCCTCTGGCTCCCAGAGGTAGCAGATAAGAGGTCTGCATCCAGGAGATTGACCCTGGGTGTGGCCTCTGCCAGCCATGAACCCCTTAGCTATGCAGAACCAGCTTGCCTTCTCCCCCAGGTGGATAAAGTGGAGAAGTTCAAGCACACTCAGAGTACCAAGGACAGCCTGCATGCCAAGTACAACACTGCCACGTGCAGCACCGTCGTGGGCGACGACCAGTGGGGCCACCTCCAGGTGGATGCCACCTCCCTTTTCCTCCTGTTCCTGGCCCAGATGACTGCCTCAGGTGAGCCAGGGCCATTTGAGCCCATTGTATAGGGAGTGACAATCCAGAAAGGGACAGGGAGGGGCAGATATTGATCAGTATTCAAAATAACCTGTTTCTGTAAAGAAAAACCCTGCTTCTTTATAATATTATAAGCATAGACTCTGTGACATGCGAACAGTCTCCTGAGCACTTGCAGAATGAGGGCTGTTGAGCCAGTTCTATTAGCATCTCTGTAGTTGATCCCAAAGCTTCCTTTCTGTCACTGTCACCTAGTTACTGGAGCAACCTAGATCAGATCTACCTTCAACAGTTCAAATATCTGCAGTGTCATGCCCCTTCAAAGTTTTCTTCTCTAGGACTATATCAGTGGATATGCTACAATTAATTTAACTATTCCTTTATTCCTTTGCTTTTTGCTGTTATAACTAATGTTGCAAAACCAACTTTGATCCCATATCTATTTGCTTCCTTCCATTAGCTAGATATCATTCAAGGAGTACAGAAGGCCCCACACCTCTTTCAATTCTTTCTGCTTGTAGGCACACACAAAAAATGGACCTTCCTTCCTCTTTCTGAGATTAGACATTGTGTTACAATTTACTTCAGACTTAGTTTTTGATGCTTAGTGAGAAAAATGAAAATGGGGTAAAAGGATTCATTTTCCTAGTGTGGTATCTGTAATTGGCAACTCTCTTTACAACATTACTTCATAATTTCATTGTTTTTCTTTACTAGGTTTACGTATTATTTTCACCCTCGATGAAGTGGCCTTTATACAGAATCTTGTTTTTTATATAGAAGCTGCATATAAAGTTGCTGTAAGTATAAACCCTGGTAGTATTTTCAGTTGTCAAAAAGAATAAAAATCATATGGTTCTTTGGGGCTGAGCAGAAAGTTAGCATGATTAGAGCTGTAAGATTATGTCACCTCCACACACAAGTGCACCTTTTTGTCCTGGGATGCAGTTGCAGAGTTCATGGTTTTGGAATACACCACATGCTCTGTTTGAATCCATGATTCTTATTTTAAATAAGACCTTAAAATGTCCTGTGGCATGTACACAGGCTGGCCTGAATCTGGATTAAGAGCAGCAGCAGCAACGCCTTGGTGGGAGCTGCTGTGCTGTGGGGCTCACCCCAGGCAGCCCACAGGGGGCCCCAGCCGGATGTGTGCCCCAGATCAGATGTGTGTGGGTATAAATTTGTATAAACCCTAGCTCCTCCAGAGTTGGCTATAAGGGTGATAGAGAAAGGTAGAGTTTGGTTTGAAAAAGAAAGCCACTGTGGTCTAAAGCACGGGTGAACAAATTTTTTCTGTAAAGGGCCAGAGAGTAAATATTTTCAGCCTTATGGTCCCTACAGTCTCTTTTGCCGCAACTCAACTCTGCCATTGTAGCACCAAAGCAGCCATAGACAACACATAAACATGTGAGCATGGCTATGTCTCAAACAGGTTTTATTTACAAAATCAAGTGGCAAACTAGATTTGGTCCAAGGGCAGTAGTTTGCTGCCCCCAGGTCTAAAGTGGTGACTTTCAACCACGGGCAATCTTCCCCTCCCAGGGGACATTGGGCAATGTCTGGAAATGTTTTTGGTTGTCATACTAGGGAGGGTGCTACTTGCATCTAGAGGGTGGCCAGGGACTCTGCTGAGTATTTTACAATGCACAGGATAGCGCCCACCATAAAGAGTGACCCGGCCCCAAATGAGGTTGACAAACCCTGGTCTAAAGGAACTGGAGAAGTCTTTGTGGAAAAGGTGGGACTTTAGTTGGACTCTGGAGGATGAGTAGGGTTAGACAAGCAGATGGGAGGAAAAGGGGTGTTTGGGGTGAGGGAATAGCATGAGCAGTCAAAGAGGCAGGAATAGGCTCTGAGTGTATATGTGGGGGATGCCTGGGGAAAGGGGGTGCATGGTGAAGTAGACTTAGGGTCAAAGTTGAGTGTTGGACAATGGTAGAAAATAAAGTCCATTTGTGGGTGTGCAGGGGTGGAGGCCAAATAATGGAGTTACGGCCATCCAGAGAGAAAGATCTGAACAGCATCCACTAGGGTTGGATAAACAGTTTGTCACTTTAGACTCTTAAGCAGGGAGTGAGCTGATGAAAGCAATTTTTGAGTTGGAATGAAGATGGATTGGAATGTGGAAAGACCCAGATGTGAGGAATACTAAAGGAAGGAGTTCTGGGTCTTGGCTCCAAGGCAAAGAGTCTAAAGTTGCCCTAGTGTGTCTAAGTCAGAATTTTCACATTTTGAAAATGTTCATCTTCGGAGACCAAGTAACAGATACTGAAGTTTTGGCATTGGCCCTGTCCTTGTTGGGTTGTAATCTTTCAATAGTGCACATAGCATTATTTCAAAAACAGTATCCAGTGCTTGGCTTTCTTAAGAGAAAATATGAATTATAAAAGATAGATATACATGTATCAATTTCTCTATATGGATACAGTGCTCTCAGCCAACTCATATTAATCAGTTTAAAATACCAGGGAGAGAGGAAACAAGATGGCGGCGTAGGTCACAGCTGCACCCGCCACCTCCACAACGACATCAAAATTACAACTAAAATACAGAACCACCATCACTCAGAACCTCCTGAAATCTGGCTGCACAGAAGCCCCACAACCAGGGAGCTGAAGAAGCACGGAGACCGGGGGAGATGCGGGCGGGTCGGGGCTGACTCAGAGAGACGAGGCGGCGGGCCCACACCCTCTGCAGTTTAAACCCAAGAGGGAATCTCGGCGGCGGAGGTTTCCCAGAGGAGTGACAGGTCCCAGCCCCACAGCAGGCCCCAGCCCAAGGCTCCAGGGCCGGGAAGAGACGTCCCCACAACTTCAGGCTATAAAACCAACGGGGACTGTCCCTGAGAGTCCCAGAAGCGGCAGGAGCCCCAGCAGCTCCTCTTTAAGGGCTGCGCACAGACCCACTCAGACGCACCCCCTCTGAGCCCAGCGCTGGGCAGCAGCCTGAAAGGACCCGGGACACTCGGGGAGGGACTAACCTGCCTGGAATCCGGGCGACAGGTGGAGGGCGGCTTCCTCCCAGGCAGAAGGGCTGGCGGAGGCCATGGCTCACGGGGCGAGTCCTCCCAGCACACAACCAGGAAGCAGGCGCCATATTTGAATCGCCAGCACCTGACTCCCACCTTTGGCCCCGCCCCGTGATTCCCGGAGGCCCCGCCC